TGGGCAGGACCAGTTCCCACTGGTGACCTCGTCCCATCCCAGTTCCCACTGGTGACCCCATCCCAGTTCCCACTGGTGACCTTGTCCCATCCCAGTTCCCACTGGTGTCCTGATCCTACTCCATCCCAGTTCCCACTGGTGACCTCATCCCAGTTCCCACTGGTGACCTCGTCCCATCCCAGTTCCCACTGGTGTCCTGATCCTGCTCTATCCCAGTTCCCACTGGTGTCCTGATCCTGCTCCATCCCAGTTCCCACTGGTGACCCCATCCCAGTTCCCACCGGTACGAGCTGGGCAGGACCAGTTCCCACTGGTGTCCCCACCCCATCCCATCCCATCCCAGTTCCCACTGGTGTCCCCACCCCATCCCATCCCATCCCAGTTCCCACTGGTGTCCCCACCCCATCCCATCCCATCCCAGTTCCCACTGGTGTCCCCACCCCATCCCATCCCATCCCAGTTCCCACTGGTGTCCCCACCCCATCCCATCCCAGTTCCCACTGGTGTCCCCACCCATCCCATCCCAGTTCCCACTGGTGTCCTACCTCCCAACCCATCCCATCCCAGTTCCCACTGGTGTCCCCACCCCATCCCATCCCATCCCAGTTCCCACTGGTGTCCCCACCCCAACCCATCCCAGCTCCCACCAGTACAACTGGGAAAGGTCCAGTTCCCACTGGTGTCCTGATCCTGCCGGGTTTATGGTCAGGGTTGGGGTTTTCATTTGGGATTTGTCAGGGTTAGGGCTGGGATTGAGGCTGGGGGTGGTGTTGGGGTCTGGTTTAGGGTCAGTGCTGGGGTCTGGTTTAGGGTCTGGTTTAGGGTTATTATTGGGGTCTGGTTTAGGGTCAGTGTTGGGGTCTGGTTTAGGGTTAAGGTTGGGGTCTGGTTTAGGGCTATTATTGGGGTCTGGTTTAGGGTTATTATTGGGGTCTGGTTTAGGGTCAGTGTTGGGGTCTGGTTTAGGGTTATTATTGGGGTCTGGTTTAGGGTTAAGGTTGGGGTCTGGTTTAGGGCCGGTGTTGAGGTCTGGTTTAGGGGTGGTGTTGGGGTCTGGTTTAGGTTTAAGGTTGGGGTCTGGTTTAGGGTTGGTGTTGGGGTCTGGTTTAGGGTCAGTGTTGGGTTCTGGTTTAGGGTTATTATTGGGGTCTGGTTTAGGGTTATTATTGGGGTCTGGTTTAGGGTTATTATTGGGGTCTGGTTTAGGGTTATTATTGGGGTCTGGTTTAGGGTCAGTGTTGGGGTCTGGTTTAGGGTTAAGGTTGGGGTCTGGTTTAGGGTCGGTGTTGGGGTCTGGTTTAGGGTCGGTGTTGGAGTCTGGTTTAGGGTTGGTATTGGGGTCTAGTTTAGGGTTAAGGTTGGGGTCTGGTTTAGGGTCAGTGTTGGGGTCTGGTTTATGGTCGGTGTTGGGGTCTGGTTTAGGGTCAGTGTTGGGGTCTGGTTTAGGGTCAGTGTTGGGGTCTGGTTTAGGGTTAGTGTTGGGGTCTGGTTTAGGGTCAGTGTTGGGGTCTGGTTTAGGGTTGGTGTTGGGGTCTGGTTTAGGGTCAGTGTTGGGGTCTGGTTTAGGGTCAGTGTTGGGGTCTGGTTTAGGGTCAGTGTTGGGGTCTGGTTTAGGGTCAGTGTTGGGGTCTGGTTTAGGGTTATTATTGGGGTCTGGTTTAGGGTTATTATTGGGGTCTGGTTTAGGGTTAAGGTTGGGGTCTGGTTTAGAGCTGGAATTGGGGTCTGGTTTAGGTCTGGTTTTAGGGTGAGAGTTTGGGCTGGGATTAGGGTCATGTTTAGGGTTGGGGTAGTCGCTGTGATCAGGGCCCGGGTTAGGGTTGGGGTCCCAGTTAGGCCTGTGATTAGACTCATAATTAGCGTCAAATTCAGCCAATTAAAGACATCTCTGCTCAGGGGAAGAGGGCGGGGTCTCGGTGTGTTGGGGGCGGGGTTATGCTAATGAGACGCTGGGCAGCGCGAAATAATTCTGCGGGAGCTCCAGGGGGCGGAGCGAATGCAAATCACAGCACGCAGGTGACCAATCAGCTCGCGGTACTGAGAGTGTGGGCGGGGCCTGTAGAGGGGAGAGGTTATGTCATAAAAGAGCCGCGTTTATGCAAATTAAACCACGGGGCGACGCGAATGGAATTCTGGGAGCGTCATTTGAGGGGGTTTGGGAGTTTTTGGGGTATCGTGAGCGCGGGACGCTGGTGGGAGGTGGGAATTTAAGCGGGGCGATAGCGCCGGTGGGAATAAAAAGGGGTGTGAAGGCTGTTCGGGGGTCACCGTGAGGTCCATGGGGGGCTTTGGGGGGCCGGTTGGGGCCGTGTGAGAGGTGGAGTTATCGCTTCTCGGCCTTTTGGCTAAGATCAAGTGTAGTATCTGTTCTTATCAGTTTAATATCTGATACGTCCTCGATGAGAGGACTTTATATTAAACGGATTTTTGGGCGCGGGAGTTGGACCCGGAGCTTGCTCCCTCCGCTCCGCGCATCGTCCCGGTATTGCAGTGCCTCCGGGAACGGTGCACCCCTCCGCGGGGACCTTTCACTGGTCAAAAACAGATTAAATTTCCCATATTTTATATTATTGATCCTTATCAACCCCTCAGCGCCTTCCCTGCCCGCTCCCACTTTAAACGTCTTCTGTATTTTTGATCTGGTTGATGCATTTGATGCATTTCAGATGTGTTTAAAGAGTTTGTAGTCGCAGGCAACCTCCACTCCCATATTCCGGCCTCCGGAAAGACCGAAAGGATGGAGCTGCCGGGACCTTCAAACATCGGGATGCACGTGGAGTGAGGATCTGCCCAATCCAAGCTTTTTCCCCTCCTGCTGGAAGGGGATAAAGGCAAATCCATCCCGCTGACGTGGGAGAACGGGCCTTTCATTTTTTTTGGGGTGGGAATCCAGGAATGAGAGAAATAAAATATTCCAGGAAAACAAACGATCCGGGAATCCAAACCGGATGGTGGCAACAACCCTGAAACGCTGGGTATTGTCACTTCTGTGCCGGCCACCTCTGCCCCACCCGTGCCTGACAATCGCCCCATTAACGAGCCAAACGAACTGGGATAAACTGGGCGAGGGGTGGAACCAGGACCAACAATCCAACAACCCCCCCTACACCGTCTGTCCCGCGTGGAAGACACAGGGATGTCACCCGTGGTGTCCTCGGGGAGGGGCAGCGGAGGCAGGGGACGAGTGGATTCGCCAGATGTTTTTTTTTGGGGGGGGGGAGGTTTTATGGGGAGGTTTTATGGACTTTTTGCTGCTGCTCCAGAGACTCGGGGGGGTGCGTAAATCCGTGTGTAAATCCATCCAGATAAACCGACAGGGCAGGGGACGGGGTTTGGGGGGAGCTGTCGTGGAATGAGGGGTGGGAATTGTCCCGTTTCAGGCAGGGACGGAGCTCGTTTCCTCTCAGCAGCTGGTGCAGCGTCGGATTTCGGGTTCCACGTGGGTCGGGTTTCGGGTTCCACGCGGGGAAATGAGTGTCGATGACACGCTGATGTTTTGGTAGGGCTCACCCTAACTCGTTTCTCCCCTGTTTTTTGTTTTGGGTGGTTTTTTTTTGGGTTTAATTTACACGGCGCTCCGTCGTTAACAAACTGTTTATTTCCCGCGTGAGGGTCTAGTACAAAATGGGTGGGTGGGAGGAGGGGAAAAGGGGAGCGGCCCCTTTAAGTGGAGTGGATGGGCGGGGCCTCTAAAAGAGGGCGGGGTTAGTGGTGGGCGGGGCGAGGCTTGAGTGACAGCGAAGAGGGCGGGGCTTCGCGGCTCGGGAAGGGGGTCCAGCCCCCCAGGAGCTCACGGATTGGAGGAGAGCCAGAAAGGGGCGGGCCCTGGGAGGCCATGAGGGGGGCGGGGCTTTTAAAGGGCCACGCCCAGGTGAGGCCACGACGCCAGCGCCTTAAATGGGCTACACCACGGGGTAAAGGGGGGGTCCTCCCCTCCCTCCTTAAAGGAGCCACACCCTCCCTAAAGGGGCGTGGTGGGGGTCACACACGGGACACCTTAAAAGGGCAACACAGCGGCAGCAGCTTCAAAGGGCCGGCGCCGTCGTTTAAAAAAAAAAAAAAAAAGCTTGCCCGTTTTAAGAGCCTTAAAACGGCACCCGGTGGGGCCCCACCCGAGACCGGCGCCTTGCAGGGAGGGTGGGGGGAAGGGGCTTCAAAAAGGGGGTGTAGGGGGGGTCCCTCAAAGGGTCGCGTGGTGGGGAGGGTCCCTCCAAGGGCTCCGCCCCAGGGTCCTCTCCCAGGGCGGTGCTCAGGTCTCGTCCTCCATGCTGAGGCTGCTGCGGGGACTGGAGGCACGGGAGGGCCCGGGGGAGGCCAGGAGGGCGCCGGGGGGGCCGAGAGGTGACAGCCCCCCCGCGTCGTCCATCAGGATGTCGTCCAGGCTCCCCTCGGGCCCCCCCAGGTCCAGGGGCAGGCTCAGCTCCGAGGGCAGCTCATCGGCCCCCGCCAGGTCCAGGAGGCACTGGGGGTGGGGGGTCCCGGGCGGAAGGGGGGGCCCCCGGAGGCCTCCTCGCAGCCCCCCTCAGCCATCGGAGCCACGGGAGGGCTCAGGGGGAGCCCGTGCAGCTGCGCCTGCAGCTCCAGCTCCTGGGGGACGCGGGAGCTCAGCAAACACACCCCCCAATTCCCACAGATTGACCCCCCTCAGATCCCTCCATCTCCCTTCCCTGGATTCTGCTCCCCCCGATCCCTTAACAGCCCCAAAGCCCCCTCCCCACCCTGCAGTCCCCCCACTTCTCCCCAGCCCTAAAACCCCCAACTTGGACCCCCCCCCAACTCCTCCACCCCGGCCCCGTGGGGGTCTCCCCGTGGAGCCTCCCAGCTCCTCTCCAGCCCCTCCCATCCCGAATCTGACCTCCCCCAGCCCCAAATAACCCCCCCCAGACCTGGACACGCAGCTGGAGGCTGCGGTTGGCCTGCTCCAGGCGCTGCTGGTGCAGCTCCAGCTCCCGGGAGCGCTGGGTCTCCTTCTGCAGCTTGCGGATGTAATCCACCGACGCCTTCAGGATCGTGCCCTTGTTCCAGCGCATCTCCCTGCCGGGAAGGGAGGGGTGGGGTGGGCCCTGGGTGCTGGGGTCCCGCTGCCACCTGCCCTGAGGGGCCCTGGATGTCGGGGTCCCTCCCCTGGTGCTCCCTGGATGTTGGGGACTCTCCCAGGACTGCCTTGGGGGTCCCAGGATGTTGGGGTACCTCCCAGACCCTACTCTGGTGCTCCCTGGATGTTGGGGTCCCTCCCAGGACCCACCCTGGGGGTCCCAGGATGTTGGGGTCCCTACTCTGGTGCTCCCAGCATGTCGGGGTCCCTGCCAGACCCCACTCTGGGGGTCCCTGGATGTTGGGGTCCCTGCCAGACCCCATTCTGGGGGTCCCTGGATGTTGGGGTACCTCCCAACACCCACCCTGGGGGTCCCAGGATGATGGGGTCCCTCCCAGGGTCCCTCCCCTGGTGCTCCCTGGATGTTGGGGTACCCTCCCAGGACCCACCCTGGGGGTCCCAGGATGATGGGGTCCCTCCCAGGGTCCCTACTCTAGTGCTCCCTGGATGTTGGGGAGCCTCCCAGGGCTCACCCTGGGGGTCCCAGGATGATGGGGTCCCTCCCAGGTCCCTACTCTAGTGCTCCCTGGATGTTGGGGTCCCTCCCACGGTGCTCCCTGAATGTTGGGGTCCCTCCCAGGCCCCACGCTGGGGGCTCCAGGATGATGGGGTCCCTCCCAGGGTCCCTCCCAGGGTGCTCCCTGGATGTTGGGGTCCCTCCCAGACCCCACCCTGGGGGTCCCAGGATGTTGGGGTCCCTCCCAGGGTCCCTACTCTGGTGCTCCCTGGATGTTGGGGTCCCTCCCAGAATCCTCGCCTTGGGGGTCCCTGGATGTTGGGGACCCTCCCAGGACCTGCCCTGGGGGTCCCAGGATGTTGGGGTCCCTCCCAGACCCCACCCTGGTACTCCCTGGATGTTGGGGACCCTCCCAGGACTTGCCTTGGGGGTCCCAGGATGTTGGGGTCCTTCCCAGACCCCACTCTGAGGGTCCCTGGATTTCAGGGTCCCTCCCAGGGTCCCTCCCAGGGTGCTCCCTGGATGTCGGGGTCCCTCCCAGGCCCCACCCTGGGGGTCCCAGTGCCCCCCCAGCCGTGCCAGGGGTCCCCCCACTCACGGGTCGTTGGATTTGGGGATGAGGGTCCCCAGTTCCTTGATCCGGTCGTTGATGTTGAAGCGCCGGCGCCGCTCGACTGCGGGGGAGGGTGGGGGGGTTTGGGGGGGTCCACACACAGTTCAGACCTCCTGTGAACCCCCCCAGACCCCCCCTAAGCCCCCCTGGGGTCCCCCCCTCCTCAGCTCACTCAGGTTGTGGTTGTCCTTCTTCTGCCGCTCCTTCAGCAGCGCCTTCGCCTCCGTTTCTGGGGGTGGGGGGGACACAATCAACGACCCCCACGGAGAGGAGACCCCCCCAGACTCTCCCTCCCACCTGACAGAGACCCCTTTGATCCTCCCTGCCCATTTGGGACTCCCCAGGGACCCCCCCAGACTCTCCCTCCCACCCGACAGAGACCCCTTTGATCCTCCCTGCCCATTTGGGACTCCCCAGGGAACCCCCCCAAATTCTGCCCCCTCCCTCCCCCAAACCAGGGAACTTTCCCCACTGCACTGAATCCCCTGACCCCTTTTAACCCCTGAAGAGACCCCCCAGGGACCCCATAACCCCCACCCACCCCCCAAATTCTGCCCCCTGTCCCCCAACCAGGGAACTTTCCCCACTGCACTGAACCCCCTGACCCCTTTTAACCCCTGAACCCCCCAGGGACCCCATAACCCCCACCCCCCACACCTGTTTTTGGGCTCCCCACAAAGACTCTGCCAAGCCCTTTCTGCCTCCATAGCCCCCACCAGGACACCCCTAGACCCAGCTGGGACCCTCCCCACCGTAATGACCCTCCCCCAATCCCAGGTCCCTTAAGAACCCCCCCCCGGCTCAGGACGCCCCTCGTGTCCCCTCCTGTCCCCAAAAAGGAGCCCCCCCCGTACCTGAGAGCTCAGCCTTGACCCGGGGCAGCTCAGCTGGGCAGGAGCTGCTGCCGCCCTGGGGGCTGAAACCTCCAGGAGGGGTCCGGGGGCCGCCGGCAGCTGAGGGGTTAACAGGGTGGGGTCACCCAGGCCACGCCCACGCCGGCCACGCCCACCCACCCCACCCCTCAGGTGTGTCCAGCCCCTCCCCCAGGGTGGAGCAGGGGGTGGGTGGAGGCCCCGCCCAGGTGTGGTGAGGCCACGCCCACCGTGGGGTCCACCCGGTTTGGCCACGCCTACTTTGGTAAGCCCCGCCCACCCAACCAAATAAGGATGAACCACACCCTCCCTTAGGCCACACCCTCTTGCCTTATATGGACCAGAGCCACGCCCTCCCACGCCTCCAGTGGGTGGGGCTACACTAAGCCCCACCCCCAGCTGAGCTACCCCACCCTGCATTTACGGCCAATGAGAAGAGGTGGGTGGGGTGTTGACCATGCCACGCCCCTTTAGGAGAAAAGTGGGTGTGGCTTGTTAGTCCCCGCCTCCACACAACACAAAGGGGCGTGGTTTGCCATCCTCACCACAAAGGGGGTGTGGCCTGCCAGTCCCCACCCCCAAGCCACACCCAAGGGGTGTGTGGGTTGGTAGGCCCCACCCCAAAGTGGGTGTGGTCCATTAGCCCCGCCCCAAAGTCACAAATAAGGGGTGTGGCTTGTCAGTCCCCCCCCCCAGCCCCCCCTCACCGTGCTGGGGAGCTGGAGGGTCCCCTCGGCCGGGCCGAAGCTCAGCAGCTCGTCATAGCTGGACTCCAGGCTGATGATCTCATCGATGACGTCATCGATCTGCTCGGGGCGGGAAAGGGCAAATCTGAGTCAGGGCGGTCCCACCCAGAGCCCCCCAACCCCCCCATGGGCCAGGGATCGTGTCCCCAGCCCCTGTGGGGCGTCACGACCCCCTGTATGGCATCATCATCGCCCCCCAAACTGTGTCACTGCCCTCCCAAACTGTGTCACTGCCACCCCAAACTCTGTCACTGCCCCCCCAAACTCTGTCACTGCCCCCCCAAACTCTGTCACTGCCACCCCAAACTCTGTCACTGCCCCCAAACTGTGTCATTGCCCCCCAAACTGTCACTGCCCCCAAACTCTGTCACTGCTCCCCAAACTGTCACAGCCCCCAAAACTGTCACTGCCCCCCCAAACTGTCACTGCCCCCCCAAACTGTGTCACCACCCCCAAACTGTGTCACTGCCCTCCCAAACTGTCACTGCTCCCCCAAACTGTGTCACTGCCACCCCAAACTGTGTCACAGCCCCCAAAACTGTCACTGCCCCCAAAACTGTCACTGCCCCCAAACTGTCACTGCCCCCAAACTGTGTCACTGTCCCCAAACTGTGTCACTACCCCTCAAACTGTGTCACAGTCCCCCAAACTGTGTCACTGCCCCCAAACTGTGTCACCACCCCCAAACTCTGTCACTGCCCCAAACTCTGTCACTGCCCCCCCAAACTGTGTCACTGTTCCCTAAACTGTGTCACAGCCCCAAACTCTGTCACTGCCCCCAAACTCTGTCACTGCCCCCAAACTCTGTCACTGCCCCCAAACTCTGTCACTGCCCCCAAACTGTGTCACTGCTGCCTCCAAACTGTGTCACAGCCCCCAAACTCTGTCACTGCCTCCAAGCTCTGTCACTGCCCCCAAACTGTGTCACTGCCCCCCAAACTGTCACTGCCCCCAAACTGTGTCACTGCCCCCAAACTGTCACTGCCCCCAAACTCTGTCACCACCCCCCTGTCGTGTCACTAGGCCCAATATGGCATAGTCAACCCCCCACCCCCATTGCATCACCAAGCCATGGGTTGCGTCATCACGTCCCTCAATTGCGTCATCATCTCCTTGTATTGCGTCATCGCTGCCCCTATTGCGTCACCACCCCTAATATTCCGTCGTCATCCCCGTATTGTGTCACCATGCCCTAAACTGGCATCAGGGAACGCCACCTGACGCCACAGGATGACCCCCTGACCCCCTCGTGCCACCTCAGCACTGCCAGCACCCCAGTGTTGACACCACGGCCACCCTATGGGTGACATCACGCCCACCCCCCAGGTGACATCACGACCACCTCACAGGTGACACCACGGCCACCCCATAGGTGACATCATAGCCACCCCACAGGTGACATCAGGGTCACCCTACAGGTAACATTGCAGCCACCCCACAGGTGACAACACGGTCACTCCACAGGTGACATCACGGCCACCCCACAGGTGACACCATGGCCACCCCATAGGTGACATCGCAGCCACCCCACAGGTGACACCACAGCCACCCCATAGGTGACATCACGGCCACCCCACAGGTGACATCCTGGCCACCCCCCAGGTGACACCAAGGCCACCCCCCAGGTGACACCATGGCCCCTCTTGACGCCCCCCCAGGGACTCCCCCCAGCCCTCACCTCCTTCTCGGAGCCGGGGCCGATGTGGAGCAGCGAGGGGCTGTGTGGGGTGGGGGCGCGGGCGGGGAGTCCCGGGGGGCTGGGAGTCCCGGCCCAGGGCGGAGCTCAGGTACTGCCGGACCTGCTGCCGCTGGGCCGCCCGCAGGTGGTACCGGGTCGGGTTCTCCAGGTGGGTCTGCACCTTTTTGAGGGGAGGGGGGAACAGGGTTGGGGTCCTCCCTTGGCACCCAGAGCACCCCCTCCCAGGCCACAGAATGACACCCCCATATCCCCCACCATGACTCAGAACACACCACCCATCCCCTGCCCCCTTCCAATCCATTCCTTCAATCCCCAGACCCCCAACATACCCCAACATCCCCCTGCCCAAGGGTCCCCATTTCACCCCTCAGAGCCCCCATCCCCCTGCCCCCCCAATCCATTCCCTCAATCCCCAGACCCCCAACATCCCCTGCCCAAGGGTCCCCATTTCACCCCCTCAGAGCCCCCCATCCCCCTGCCCCCTCCCAATCCATTCCCTTCAATCCCCCCAACATCCCCGACCTGCCCCCAACATCCCCTCTGCCCAAGGGTCCCCATTTCACCCCTCAGAGCCCCCATCCCCTGCCCCCTCCCAATCCATTCCCTCAATCCCCAGACCCCCAACATCCCCCCTGCCCAAGG